GACTTAAACCAAGTTTACCAAAGGGACCAGGATTTAACTAGACATTTCAGTGCTTGTTTCTCTTTCTCATTTAATAAATAGGTCATCAGCAAATAACCAGGGTGCCACAGAGTCTACCCATAAGCCAGTGGTTTTCAAACTTTAGCCTACCTCAGAACCAGTTGTAAAGCTTATTAAACCACAGATCACTAGACAGAACCCCGAGATCCTGATGTACAAGGTCTGGGGTGACGCCTGAGAATTTGCGTTTCTAACTAAGTTCTCGAGAGATGCTTAACAAATTGTGAGGTTCTGTATAAATGTTAATGATTGTCGCCGTTGTTAGCTAAAATTAATCCACAAGCATCCTGCTTTTCTAGTAAGTTGAAAGGAAACTGAAATTAATGGACTAATAGTCGTGAAAAGGCACTTGAAAAATTCTGTTAGTCTATAAAGGGACAGCTCAACCAGAAAGAGCATAGTTCCCATTACAGAACCTCACAGAAGGGCAGAAGAGGGGAATAGCCAAAATTTAAACCACTTCCTCATCAATATTTATTGCTTATTGTCCGGTTGTATATCTTCTTAGATAAATGTTTATTTGCATTCTTTACCCCTTTTTTGATTGAGTTGTATTTTTATTAGTTGTAAATTTTCTGTATACATTCTCGATACAAGCTCCCTATCAGATACATGATTTGCAAATATTTTCTCCCATTCTGTAAGTTGTCTTTCACTTTCTTTTGATGGAGTCCCTTTTAATTTTGATGAAGTTCTGTTTGTATATATTTTTTCCTTTGGTTTCTTGTGCTTTTGGTGTCTTATCTAAAAAACCATTTCCTACTCCAGGGTCACAAAGACTTACTCCTATGTTTTTCTCTAAGAGTTTTATAGTTTTCACTCTTACATTTAGGCATGTGGTCCATTTCAAATTACTGTTTGTGTACAGTGTGATGTAGGCATGTAACTTTGTTCTTTTGCATGTAGATATCCAGTTACCACCCATTATCTATGGAGTTCTCTCTATATACCATGTGCTATTCTAGATTCGGGGCAAACAGAGATAAGTAGAACATAGCTGTTGCCTCTCAGAGAGTTACCATCATAGTGGGGGGATCACATATGAGCAGAGAACAGAAACATGGTAAAATAATGTGTGTAGGATGCTTAGCACTGTGCCTGGCCCCTAGAGAGTGTATAGCAAATAGTAACTGTTACAATAATCATAGTATCTATTATTGTACTTATTATAAATGACAATAGAAAGGTATATTCAAAGTGGCATGGCAGGAAGGAGGGACTGACTTTTCCATGTCTCAAGATTGTCTTCACTTGGGGCCATTCCCGTTACTTCTGGGGCCCAGGAAGAGGAGGGGTTCAGGGACATAGGTCTCTCAGAGGCCAACCTTTTTGAGAGAGGAAGGACCTCAGGTACGGGTGAGTGTAAGCTCAGAACAGGGTTATGTGATTGCTGATTCCTGTTCCAGTCTGTACCCAAGAAAGAATGACTTCTTCATTTGTTTGTAGATCTTTACAGGCACTTGAGGGAATCTTAATGGCTGGTTATGTATTATAAAATGTTTCTAAATAGATTACATAAGTGCATTGTCTTGATATTATATAATTAGGACTTAAAATCTCTATTCCCTAATGATCATATAGTGTTTCCTCAAATTGACCTTATAAAGTATAGACCAATGGTAGATTTTCACATGGAAGTTATGGTATTTTGTATGAAACAGTATAAAATGTTCATTTATTTAATCCCATATAAACTAATATCTTAATGGCAGGAAGTATAGCTGTATTATATATATATTCTGGGCTCCACATTACAAAAATTACCTAATTATAGAAAATAATTTGAAGAAATCACTTTTTCAAGTCTTTCCTCTATAGCAGTCATTTGTTTTGTCACCTGCTAGCACATGTTAGCAGAAAAGTGCAAACTGGTGTCATAAGTGTAAACACTGTGTTGGAAAAAACAACTTTAAATTAAGCACATTCTAATAACATAATCTAAGTCAAGCTATAAAACCCTTCAGTTCAGTTGAATAGGATACAGTTGTTTCAAAGAAGGATAATTTTAGAACCAGTGAGACAGAGTTTAAATTTTAATTTAAATACATTGTATTTTAACAAAGAGTAAAAGTTTTAGTGTCTGGTTTTAATATCATGTATTATATCCACTATGGATTTTTATTCCGTCTTTGTTCAGTTCATCAGGCTTTGCTGGCTGCCTGTTAGGTGGAAGGTACCCTGTCCAAGTCCGCGTCCTGAAGGAGTTATGATCTGAGGACGAAACGGGGCCCAGTAGAGGACACACATCGCTAGTTTTAAGAAGGAGCAAACTGTGTGATAAGTGCTCTAGTGGAGTTATCAAGGGCTTAGAAACACAGGCAAGGAGAGGCTGCTTCAGATTCAGAATGGGGAAGATCCAGGAGAGCTTTCTTAAGGAGCTGGCACATGAGCCGGAACTTGAAGGGCCAGTGGAGCTGGAACGGGAGAAGGAAGCTGTGTGAGTGAAGACTTAGTGGACATAGGGGAAACTGAGGAAGTGGACGCAACCTGGGGCGCCTGGAGTACAGAATGATTAGGGGACACAGCAGGCACGCAGTTAAAAAGATAGGGAGGAGCCACATAACTGAAAAGATGGCCTTTTTATGGCTTAATAATGGTCTGTAATTTCTTCTCCACCTTCAACATATCCTTTGACTTACTCCCACACTGATCTGATCATGCCACTGCTCTGCTCAAAAACCCCCCATGGCTCCCTAGTGTGCAGACAATCAAAGCCAGACTCATGAGTTTGGTATTATCAGGACTGCAAAAGGTGGCTCCTCCCTATCTTTTTAACTGCGTACCTGCTGTGTCCCCTAATCATTCAGTACTCCAGGTGCCCCAGGTTGCGTCCACTTCCTCAGTTTCCCCCATGTCCACTAAGTCTTCACTCACACAGCGTCCTTCTCCCGTTCCAGCTCCACTGGCCCTTCAAGTTCCGGCTCATGTGCCAGCTCTTCAAGAAAGCTCAAATGGTTAAATATGCCTCCAGCAAACTGACTACTCCTCTTATCTGATAGCAATGACCAAGCAAAAGCTTATAAAAAGTAACACTGATAAAGCACGAACTTCCTTTTTTTTTTTCAAGAATAACATCCTAGTCAGTATCCTAGATTTGCGCCTTAAATGTCTCTTAGACAAGGAAAAGAACCACCCAGATTTTCAGTTTAGAAACAGGACTAGGAAATGTGTTTATCAGCAGATGAAAACAAACCAAGGTGAAGCAGGACTGTTATGTAAGACTCTGTTCCTATGTTAGGACTGAACCCAGTTACCTGGGTATACAGTCCAGCTCTACCATTTATGAGCGGCTCTGTAACTCTGGGCATTTTACTTAACCATCTGTGCCTCAGTTCTTTCATCTGTAAAATGGGGATAATAATGGTACTCGTCTCAGGGGTTCTTATGAGGATTAAATGAATCAATACACGTAAAGTGCTCTAAATAGTGCCTGGTATGTAGTTAGAGCTCAATAAATGTTAACTATTATTGCTCAGCTGTTGGGCAATAAAAATGAACTGCCTATGACATATCACAATCTGCAGAGTGCTTTCACACATCCTCTAGGTGATTTGAGCTCCATAATCACCTTATGGGTACATTTTATTATGTTCACAGATTCTGTGAATCAGAAATTCAGACAGGGTACAGCGGGAATTGCTTATCTCTGCCTTGCGATGTCCATGCCAGCAGCTGGAGACAACTTGAATGGATTTGGAGGACTTTAGAGGGTAGAGCTGAATCAACTGAGATTGCAGATCCACATGGCTTCTTTGCTAACCTGGCAGGCACTTTGATGGGATGGCTGGAAGGCTGGGCTCAGCTGGGGCTGTCACCTAAACACCTACACATGGCTTCTTCTCTGCGGTGGCCTCAGGGTGGTCGTCACACTTCTTAGAGTGTTTCTGCAGCAGAAGCCACGTGCCTTTTATGACCTAGCCTCAGAAGTCTCATGGCAGATGCTTCCCTGTTCTCTGTTGATTAAAGCAGTTGCAATCTGCTCAGACTCAAGGGAAGGGAATAGAGACCACACCTCTCAATGGGAAGCCTATCAAAGAATTGTGGGGCATGTTTTAAAGTCACCATACTGATATTTTCCTCTAATTCTAGATGAGAAGATCGAGACTTATAGAGGTCAAATGATTTGACAAGGGTCAATTGTACAGATAGTAACTGGGATTATTAGGAGGGTGGGGTGGGGGGAGTTGGAGGAGGAAAAGGCTTCTAACCTAATTCTTCTGACTCCAGGTTTTTGGTCTTTCAATTAACTGTTCATCTTCCTTTAGCTTAGATACAGTTGACCCCTGAACAACACTGGTTTGAACTTCATGAGCCCACTTATATGCGGATTTTTTTCAATAAATATATTTGGTCCTTCATATCCATGGTTTTCACATCTGTGGATTCAACCAACTGCAGCTCAAAAACAGCATTTTCGCATTCCCAGCACTATCTCTACCCGCAGTCGGTGGAATCTGCGGATGCAGAGGGCTGACGACAGAGTCAAAAGTTATACGCAGATTTTCAACTGTGCAGTGGTCAGTGCCCCTAACCCCTCCCCTTGTCCAAAGGCCCACTGTACTTGCTAATATGTGAAAGTTAAAAGAAAAAAATTTCAACTCACTTTGTCTACAGGGTTGGCAAAAGTCGGTTTATAGTTGTGAGTGTGTGAGACACAGAGTTAATAAAGCTATTGTAATAATCAAAGCCTGCATATCTTTTCCCATACAAACAACTGTAACCTACTTTTGTCCACCCTGTATATTAGGTAACTTCCCTAAAAAGAAACAAAGATATAAAAATATAAGGTTTGCATTTATATAAGCTTGTGCACAAACTTCGTATTTTAAGGAGGTCTTGGGATAGGTGCAGTCCTGGGATTAGCTTTCTATAATTTTCTCATAAGGAAGGGTCTCTGAAAACGTTCCATATGCTTAACTGTGACTTCATTTGTTCTCTAGGAAAATCTCACCTGGCCATTGTCCAGAGGGTGAATAATGAAGGAGAAGGAGACCCCTTCTATGAGGTGATGGGCATTGTCACACTGGAAGACATCATAGAGGAGATCATCAAGTCAGAGATCCTGGACGAAACTGACCTCTACAGTAAGTGCATGGCCTTGGCTGTTGTCCAAGGTCATCTTATTTTCCTCTGTGACTCTCAGAGCTGGCTTAGTGTGATATACAGTGTGAAAGTGTGTCGACCCCCTAATGCCAGGGGCAGTCATGGCAAGGTCCCTGAGAACATGCTAGCTCAAAGATTTTCAACCTTTTTCATCTCATGGCTCACATAAACTAATTATATATATATATTTTTTTTGCCCATCTGACAAAAAAATAGGTATAATTTTGATTCATTCACACCAGACAGCTATTGTTCTGTTGGCTGTTGTCATTTTTTTATTATAATCTAAGGGAAAATAGGTCAGTACCCCTGACTAGTCAGGTATTGCATGTTTTAAAAAATCTTGTGGCACACTGGTTGAAAATTGCTGTGCTAGCTAAATGTTTACCAGGAGGGAACCTTCAGGAACCAAGACTATGAAAAGGAGACCTAGCCTTTGGATGAAAAAGGAACTAAAGGAAAGAAAGTATACCTCAGATGGCAGCTCTGCCCCTGTGTCTGTCCCCTGTGTTGTTCCTGTTGTGTCTCTTTGTCCATCTAGGTGAAGACCCCAGCACACCCTGGGGTTCCACTCAACAGCCTACTCACACCAAAACCTCACGTGCAGTGGAGACTGGCCTGAGACTGCACACTGCATTCCAAGCCAAACCTGCAATGTCCCTTTTTACACGTTGCTCTTCTCCTTCATGTTTTTTCAGTCCTCCCAGCTGGTTTCCCCTTCCTTCCCTTCCCTACCTGTGGCTCCTGGCCCTGATCCCTCCTTTCTGGTCTCCTCACCCTGCTAACCACTCCCCCTCAGGAACAATCTGGACTCCTCCATGCAGATGGTGAAAGCTTTTGGTTACTCAGCCTTATCAAAACTTTGCTTGCAAATGTTACAAAGACAGTGCTCTGTCTCTAGAATGGGAGTGTTATCTAAACCCATGGGATTTAGGCCAGGAAGTGTTTCCTCCGAATTTCACCTCATGGGAAAGCAATCCCTTCTCCTTCCCACAGGTAACCCATACCAGACCCCCGTCCTTAGTTTGCTAGAAGCAGCCATTCAAAATCTAGCTCCCAGTAGAAAAAGCTTTGATACTATAAGACAGTAAGTGGTGCAAAAAGAGTGCCTTCCCTTTGGACTAAGAGATCAAACCCTAAAAGGTGGGCCAGGTCTTGGCAGAATATACCAGGCGTGTCAGAGTGTCTGGTATTGCTGGGATGCCCTGGCCAGGCCCAGCTTCTTCAAATAAGGATTGACCTCTTCCTCCCCTATTCCCTTCTCCCTTCTCCACCTCTGCCCACTGCTCTTGACTTATAATTCCCCAGGGACTCCATAGATATATTGGTGAAGACATTCACACTAAAGTGTTAGTGGCTCACAGTAGGGATAGCAGTCTAAATAAGTGAGCTCCTCCTCGGGCGTCTGCTTTAGCCACCTGAATGCTCCAAACACTCACTATTAAAATAAAAGGAATAAGAGGGAGGCCAGAGAAACGATTCTCCAGGATAAAATGTTTTGTGGCACTCCGAAGGAGGGGGGAGAGGGGCGTTTAGGCAAACACACCATGCTAATCAGCAGTTTGCTCACAATGAGAGCAAAAGAACTGGCCTAATATAAGTACTTGCTACTCCCTTGCTGAGCAGTTGATTGGCTTTCTAAAAGAGAGGGTTAGGGCTTCCCCACCCTTGTAAATATGCTTCTGGCACAATTCCTTAAGAGCTCAGAGAAGTGCAAGGAGCGGAGGGAGGAGTACGGTGTTGCTTTTCACTTGACCCTGACCCACAGGAAAGCTGGCTCTGGATCTCGCCACTGTTGCAAACCTCATAAAAAAGAAGTGTCTAAGCGGGGCCCAGAGTGCAAGGCGGGCCTCGGAGAGCAGCGCAGGAGAAGGGCACTCTCTCCCTTCTAGAAGGAGACCCAATCGGTGTGGCTGAGATGAGCCCCAAAAGGAAGGGCAGCCAGATTCTTTTCATTTCCCTGCTCAGCTGCACTGAAAGTTCCCTGCAGCCCTGTTTTTCTCTAGGCCAAATTTGGAGAAAACTCGAATCTCTTTTCCTGCTCCCCTTAGCACAGGTGAGAGAGGCTGAAAGTTTCCAAATTTTACTCAAAATTAAGAGGAAACAAAACAGAAATGGCCAAAGAAAACATTTCCTTTTTCCCCCCCAAAATATTTCCTAAGACAAACTTTAAAAAGGGGGAGAAAAAAATAAATTGGAAAAAGCAAATTCTCTCAAACAATAAACATAGGCTCTCTGGAGTTCCTCCAGGTGCCGCCTGAGGCCCCTGCCCAGAGAACGTGTCTTTGTAAGTTATAGGGCTGCTCCCATTTCCTCTCCTTCCCTCTTCCCTTTATTTCTCCCCCGAGGGGCCAAGTTGATGCTGGAGAATTGTGAATGGGAAGAGGAGGTGACCGCTCGCCCTCTTGGGTGGCATGCCTCCAGTTCTGCTCAGAGCCTGTTTAAAATTAGCAGGAAGAGACCAGGTGAGCCCAGCTCTGGGGACAGAAGAGGAGCAGAGGCAGAAACCCCCTGGGACTCCCAAACACCTCGATGCTGAGAATGCAAGTCCCTGATGTTTGAATGCTTTTTTCTAAGTATTTCACAGATGGTTTCTGGTTGGAGTCTCATAATTAGTGCACACGATGAGTAGAAGAATTATTAATTATTAACCCCATTGCATAGATTAAAACAAACAAATATTCGGATGCTTAGAGCACAGCTCATAAGTAGGGGAGCTCGTAAGTAGGGGAACCAGCTCAAGAACCTTGACCTTGGGAGGCCCAGGCCAGCCTTTCCTCTTTTCCACCATGTACCACCTAAGTGTAAATAACACTGAGATAATTATAGCATGTCCCACCTTCTCCCCCTTATCAACATCCTTCCACTCCCTGGGAGAGGTATTGTAATGTCACCTACAGTTGACACTTTGCAGAAATTTGGGTGGTTTCAGAGGATCTATCTGTCCCGTATAACTCTGGGAAAACCTCCAAAAACCAACAGTGATTCTGAGATAGCTGCAATCTGTCCCCCTGTGATCCGCAGCTGACAATCGGAAAAAACAGCGGGTCCCACACCGGGAGAGGAAGCGGCATGACTTCTCCTTGTTTAAACTCTCGGACTCAGAGATGAGAGTGAAGGTCTCCCCACAGCTTCTGCTGGCCACACACCGCTTCATGGCCACAGGTATGACTCTGCCCACCCGCGGCTCTACCCCAGGCATGCAAAGCAGCATCTGGAGGTGGGACCCAGACACCAATCATTTTTAATACCTTGTGACCTAATTCTAGTATGACTGAGAACCACTGTTCCAGGAGAGGAGATTGCCTTAGGTAAGGGAGACAGGATGCCACGTACTGTCAGTTTCAGTCCCCGGCCTGATCTAGGGAGAGACTAAATACAACCCAACTCCGCTTGTCTTTCTTCTACTCAAGAAAAAAAGCTAAAGAAACCACTGCTGCACTTATCCCTTCCTCCACTCGCTTCCTGGTGGGAGACAGAGGCCAACCTCCATCCTGCTGGAGTTGGGGTGCCCAGAGGATCTGTAGGGGAGGGAAAGGCATTGTCCTACCCAACAACAGGGCCCTGGAGTCCAGTACCCTCCAAAGGCCATATAGGCCTGTGAGATTTGAGTTCTTAAATTACAGAAGTGGCTTGTGAATCTTGGGATCTTTAGAAAGAAAAAAAGTGAGAGGATCCAAAGATAAACTTGTGCAGAAGGTAAGGTTTGTCTTTGAACCCTCTGGCCTGCTCACCCAGGCCTAATTAATGTGCAGGCCTAGAATTACCATACCCATTGTGAAGTTTAATATTTAATTAATCCAGCATATGATTATTGAGTATACAGTGAGTACTAGTACTGTTCCAGGTGTTAAAAAAGTAGAAAAGTTTATGTTGCAGTTCTTTAAAGTAGAGTTTTCAACATGTCTATTTCTGAATTCAGGTTTCTTTTAACTACTGACTGATGTCCTAGAGGAAAGCAGCTCTATATTTTAATATTATAACATGATATAATATAACATAACATAATATCTGTTAATATATAAATTTGATGCAAGGATGCTTCACATTATTGAGAACATATCACTTAAATAATTACTATTTCTATTAACTTGGAATTTCATTTCATTCAATAGATATATGTCATACAAATAAGTCAGATTAAATTCTTTTTATTTCATTTGATTATTACAGTAAAGGTTTTTTGTTCACATGCTTATTTATCCATGCCCAACTCTGCTTTTTAATCTACTCTATTAAGGTATGATTGACATACCAAAAAAAAATGGTACATATTTAATGTATACTAGCTGATGAGTTTGGAGATAAGTATATACCTGTGAAACCATCACCACAATCTGTACGGTAAACATATCCATCACCTCCAAAAGTTTCCTCCCACCCTCTTTATTTACTACTATTTTTCTGTGTTAACATAAGATCTAGCCTCTGAGTGAATTTTTAAGTATACAGTAGAGTATTGTTAACTGTATGCACTGTGCTGTGCAGTAGATCTCCAGGATCTATTCATCTGGCATAACTGAAATTTTGAACCCTTTGGCTAATCCCTCCCTGGGATCCCCCTCCCACTAGCCCAGGAAACCAGCCTTTTGCCCTCTGCTTCTATGAGTTTGACTATTTTAGATTCATCGTATAAGTGATACCATGCAATGTTTATCCTTGCATGTCTGGCTTATTTCACTTAGCATAATGTCCCCCAGGTTCATCCATGTTGTCACAAACAGCAAGATTGCCTTCTTTTTTAAGTCCATATACAACTTTAAATAAAATCAAGTAGAAAATTAATAACAACACTGATGTTTCCAAAATGGTGACTTGTTTCTTCTGAGGTGCCAATGCAGGGACACACATCCCAAGGGGCATGGGGAAAGCCTGAGAAGCACACTTGGGTTTAAGACATCCCCCCACACACAAAGGAGTCACAAGAACCCTTCCAGCTGGGTGCCTGGAGCACGAATGGAGATGGCTCTGGAGATACCCTCACTCCTCCCAGCTGCCAATTCTTCCTGCCTCCCACCCTCCCCTAGAAGTGGAGCCCTTTAAGTCTCTGTACCTTTCGGAGAAGATCCTACTGAGGCTCCTGAAACATCCCAACGTGATCCAGGAGCTGAAGTTTGATGACAAGAACAAGAAAGCCCCGGAACACTACCTCTACCAGCGCAGCCGCCCCGTGGACTATTTTGTGCTGCTTCTCCAGGTGAGTGGGAAAGTTAAGAGACCCTCTAAGGGCAAGACAGGGGCATCCCTAGGCTGGAGAGGAATGGCCATGCCTCCCTAGTGCCAGGTTCTGAGATTCAGCTGGCTGCGTTCAGATGGGGTGGGTGTTTGTCAGTGACCCACAGAAGGGGCCAAGTATGACTGATTGGTGTCCTGGGAGTGGCGGGATCTTGATGGCGTTTAGTCAGACCACTCAGGGATGTTTGTGGTGGGGTGAGGCAGGCACCTCTCCAGCAGAGGGGTGCTGTGACTGAACTTCCAGAACTGCTGGCCTACAGAATCCCTAACACCTTCTTATCTCTGATTGGACATGTCCAGAAGAGGAACTGTCCTGTGCCTTCTCCCAAACTTCAGACACTTATTTAAAGCTTTTCCCTCTGTCCATCTGAAAGCTCATCCTCTCTGACTTCCACCCACTGGTCCTTGCTCTGCGCCGTGGAGGTGCAGAGAACACATCCACTCTCTATGAAACATCTTGGCCTCTGCAGGCTGTTGACTCTTTTCCTCCTTACAAGAACCAGGAAGGAAGCTAATGACTTAGTGAAAGACGTGCAGCATCTTCCAGGTACTCACGTAGGCACGACCACCTCTGCCCCGTGTGCCTGGATAGGCCTGTAAGTAAGTGTCGGCCATGGTTCCAGCACTGGATACTCCTGGTGTTCGGGCCTGGCTCTACCATTAGCTGTCACCATTCTGTCTCTTCCCAACAGTGTCTTATGAACCCTAACTTCAGTGGTTGTCTTAAAATCTTAAACTTACAATAACTTACAAGTGGCTCCTATTTTGTCACTGTCCACCTGCAGCCTGTCTGCTCTGAAGCACTGTGCCTCAGGCCCGTTCTCCCAGATACCCTCAACAAAGTGGCCTCCTCCTCTGAAAACGGAGTCACATTCTTAACTGTTGGAAATGGAGAAAGGTTGTCACATTTTTTAAATAACATAATGAACCTATACAATCTACTGTCTTACGCTTAATATAAACTGTTTTCAAATCAAAGTTGAACCTATACAGTCTACTTAATATAAACTGTCTTCAAATCAAATAATGAACCTATATCATCTACTGTCTTATGCTTAATTTAAACTGTTTTCAAATCAAAGTTGGAGGAAGTAAAATGTAGCGGCGAGAGTGTAAATTCAAAAATTGGAAAGACTGGCTTTAAAATTTCAATATTGCCGCTCCCTAACTAACTTTGACCTAGTGATTTAACCTCTCTGAGCCTCAAAATTGATTCATCTGTAAACTGGGAGTGAAGGCAGTATGGGCTTCATAGGGCTGTGGGACTGATTGAATGAGAATCCATGGCATGCACATAACAAACACAGTGTCAGGCCCATAGACACACACTGTATGTTACACACGGGCTGTCGTTATTAGTGATGAAGTAAACAAGCTTCACACAGAGTCAGAATCACATTTTATTTCAACTAGATTTAGAGATGGTCTAGTCTCAGACCAAACCAGTAAGGCCCTTTATAGGGCCCTGAGCCACTTGATGCCTCGACCTGCATGATGGAAGGGCCATTACAGGCTGCAAGGAGAGCCTGGGGTTATTCGTGACTGGATGCAGCTTTATGAACTAAGCAGTTAATTTACTGCAAAGGTGCTACTTCTGAATGTAAATCTGGACAGACTTCACATTTCCCTGTGATAAGATCTTAGGTCCACTTGTTATCCAAACAGAGGCTTAGGGTTGTAATCAGTGCTAGAACTGGAAGTGCACACACGTCCTTAGCACACTTCCTTCTTTCTCCAGGGGAAAGTGGAGGTGGAGGTTGGTAAGGAGGGCCTTCGCTTCGAGAATGGAGCCTTCACCTACTATGGTGTCCCAGCCATCATGACCACTTCTTGCTCAGGTATTCCAGTTCCCACGCCACAGCTTATTGGGGAAGCAGTGGGATGTCGTAGAAAAGAGCAGCTGGGTTCAAGTCTTCGCTCCTGTTAGGGACCCCGGACAAGCCCTTTAACTTCCTTGGCTTTAGTGTCCCCTCCGTAAAGTGGGAATAAGACTCATTTTTCATTCAGAGAGTTTGTCTCTGGAAGTACCTGGTAGACAGTCCTGTTATTGAGTGTTCGGGATGGATAGTGCTATTTTTTTAGTATGAAAAGACAAGTTTATTTTTCTTTTTACACTTCCATTTGATTGCCTGGGTTTTTTCAGTTCATTGGTGCTGGGGGTGGGGTGGAAAAGGGAGAATTCCCATAGGAAGGTGTACTTTCTGAACTGCCTCTGAAACACATTGCATCCTTCTGTCCTTCAGATAACGACGTGCGGAAGGTGGGAAGCCTGGCTGGATCCTCTGTCTTTCGTATGTATCTCTCAAACCCCGCCCTGCTGCCCCCCGTCGTAGCCCGGCCTCGGCCCCCTCTGGGCACCTGGACCGAGCACTCTGAGCCTGGGCTGGGCTGACACAAATGCTGGCAGCCTCTCTCTAATGCTCTGCCAGGAACACTGCTTCCTGCCAGGTACCCACTGGCCACAGGGGCTTAGTTTCTGTGTCTGGAATGTTCTCTGCTGCTGCTCTGCTCATGTACAAGTGATAAATGGCAGGGAGGGAGGTTGTGAGGGGAGGCACCATTTATTGTCACCTGCCAGGGCATGCAGGTGATTTCCTTCTCTGCTATGATAATTCGCCCACTGGCCTCTACTTGAAAACCTAGGATGCTGTCATTAAGTCTGCGGGGTTAGTAGGAAGTGACTGCGAGATCTTGGAATATACATCCCAGGGTGGTGCAATATGTTGCTTATCTGCTTCTCGTTCCTCTCTCTGCATCTCAGCTGGTGGAGAGGTGCCTGCCAGCTGGTTGTGCATGCTGATGGTGGGGGATGGCGCAGGGCTGCTGGCTAGTTTGCTCTGCCCCTTCTGTGCTTTACCTACTTGCTGTTTCCTGCATAGAATTATTGCATTTGTGTTTAGAAGGCATGGCATTTATTGTGATATAAGTGTGATCCAGAAAGAATGATTTGTACAGAAGTTTTTTGACGCACTGGTCTGACTTTTGCATTGCTTTCAGCTATTATTGTTTAAAGTGGCTATTTTAATGCCAAATGGGGTGTTTTCTCTTATCACAAAAAACATTTTGCATAGAGTTTTCTATTGAATTTCTCAGAGGGTCCCAAAAGCTAATATCAGTCCCTGGCACATGAAAGATAGACACTGTTTTAATGCAAAGAAACTAAAGAAATGACTTGCTCCAAATCACCCAGCAAGTTGGTGACTTACATAGATGAATTCTGGTGCCTTGACTAGTTTACACAGCACAATGAAATACAGATTTGAGGTCCTTCATGTCCCAGAATGCAAGCTGTATGTGGGAATATTGGAACAATTTATGGGGTAATTTCACATCCTAGCCCAGCATAGGGCTGAAATGAAATTGGAGTGGCTTCCCACACCCAAGGGGTGGCCCAACATGAGTTGAAGGAGATCTGTAAAGTAAAAATCCATGGTACATTAGTATACTTATATAAACCAAAAAATCCCAAGTAAGGTTAATGGAGGAAACATCAGTACTCAGAACGAGAACTATGGGTGGGTGAGGGATGTGCTCCAGGACCGGGTAAACCTTGGTTCTCTAATGGAGATTTCCATCCATCACATTGCTCAAGGTAGAGCAACTTCTGGGATTCTAAATCTTACCTTTCTCTTCCAGAAAACCAAAAGAGGTGGGAGCTCTGGGGGGAAAGCTTCATAAGGCTCCCTAGCCCACCTAATTTAGTTGACCTTCTTTTTAAAAAAATTATTTAAAAAGTAGCAGGAAGATGTGACTCCCTTTCCTCCCTTTCTGTCTCTAGTTTTTTCTCTCAGAATCCTTCCATTTTATCAGTGAGACAGGACTACACTTGCAACACTGATCTCTCCTTCAAAACTGGTTAACCAGCCAGAAGGAAGTACTACACTCTTTCCCTTTCCCCACTTCTGAGCATCTTTAGAAGTTTTCAGGAGGAAAAAAAATCGAATTAGTCTGTAGACATATAGATACATTTTCCACCCTCTCCCCAAGCCCTCCCCACTTAGTGAAGTATGAAATAACTAGAAAGACTGCCACACCCTACAGTTGTCCCTGGTGGTGTGGGTTCCAGCCACCCAGCATCTTTCACTGGCCAAGAATCTCAGCCTATAGGTCAAGAGAGAGCTTCAGGCTGAGCCACAAGGCAGTAAACTCTTTTATGGTACCACTAGAGCAAACTGCTCCTGCCCTTGAAGCCAGCCTGTAGCCCTATCAGCCTTTGAGGATGATAAATGGGATGGCGAGTTTGCCAGAACACTGCCCTGTGACCAATGCCACAGAGTTGAACTTGAGGTTACAAGTAAGTCACTCTGGCTTTCCTGTGCAGAGTAAAGGGAACACAGCCAGCACTGTCTCCTTTATCTGGAGCCAGGGAACCCAGCAGGACCGTGGTGAGCCTGGCACTTGGGTGAAACTGGGCCTGAGCTCGGGGTAGCCAGAAAAGCAGCCCACAGGGCTGTGCAAGTGGAGAGGAAAGTCTCCTATTGCTGGGTATGGTGTATATTTATTTGCAGCCCAGAAGTCCTAAGATTCTTCTTGAGACTATGGGATTTCTTATTCCAGTGTGTCTCACAACATTAAGGGCCTGTTCAAGTGTTCTTGGCTATCTCATGTCAGAATAAATGATTATCAGGTGTAAAGTTCCTGACACACACTCCCCTGCTTGTATGGGTCCTTTCAGTAACATCACCTGATGTGGAAAATAAGACCGCAGAAGCTGCCTACTTCAGTGTGTGCCATCACCTGCAGACGGGCTTCACTGAGCTCCTGGGAAGGGACTTGGAATGAGCATCTAAGAGAGATGAAGACAGATTCCCATGCAGAAACAGGGTCAAGGCTGGGGAAGGACTAGAGTACTGCTACACACCCCACTCCATCCAGGCCCCAAATGATGGCCAGCCCCGTTTCAAACGCTGTAGGGAGAGAGGAGGAAAAGGGGACAGGAAGAGAGGCTCTGGAACGCTTGTACTTGCTAAGAAGTGACTACGGGTTGTTAATTGACCAAGTTAATTCCCATTATGGTTGCTAGAAATGCTGCCTGCCCTTCCTGTTTCCCGAGCCTCTAGCAACACACAGCTCCTCCCTGGCACTGTGACCACAGAGGAGCTCCTAGGAGTCCCAGGCAGGATACAGCCTCCTCAAGGATACCCCTTGCAGGAGCATTCGCTGTGCTCCCAGCTCTCTGGTTGGAGAGCAGAGACGCGTGGCAGCTGGGAGGGCCTGGCGGGAATGCAGTGCTGGGCTCCCAGCAGATTTGCTGGCTCAGAAAGGATGCTGCTGCAGATGCACGCTCCCCACTGGGGCACCGCTGTTCTTGTCCTTGACAGGTCTGATTCCCTCGAAAATGATTATGCATCTTTTGGAAGACCTTCAGAAAAGTTTATTTCCTTTTCCTCTTTCTGGAGGGTGACTTTGTAAGAGGATGCGATTTCCATGTTTTCAGAGGCACGATTCCCTTTTGCAGAGAAATGTGATGCTGTGAAGATCCAGGAACAGACTCTCACCACACTCTTTGTCTCTCTCCTCTTGTGTTAATCTCCCCCTTCGCAACTCACAAATCCCTGGCCCTTGACTCTTTAGTGCCCACGTCTGTGTCTCGTACCTTCGCCTTCAGCAGAGGGGACTCTCTGGCAGGCTCCCCAGGTAAACATGCATGGGTGTCCTGGGTCCCCATCGATTCAGTGAGGTTTGCAAGCGGCCTTTGGTCTCTGTCACTGCACCACATAAGAACAGTCTCTCCCAGCAGGCATTCCAGGGCCTGAGGCATAGCATAATGCACAGATAACACTCATTTGCAAATACAGCCCAAGCGTTGCTGGTTCAAAGGTGTCACTCGTGGATTTAGCTCCCAGGGAGGTATCTGCGTATGAAAATGGAGAAATAATGGGGTGAGAGATGGGGTGAGTTCTTCCTCATCATTTATCTGACTGCAGAATGGAGGAATGAGGAGCACAGCGGGAGAAAAAGAGGAAAAAATAACGGAATATTATGCTTTATTCCTGTTCTTCCTCCACCTTTCTTCCTGTGTGGGCTCTGCCTTTAGCTAACCACTAACCCATCCTCATTATCTTTCTAGCAGCGTTCCCATGTGGTCACCATATTCCCTCTGGCTCTGTTCACACAAAGGATGCTCCACGTAAAATTTCAAAACAACTTTTCATTAGGGTTAACCTCTCATTAATTAAATACAAGTTACCAGTTTCTTCTTAATTGGGTAAAGCAGCTCCCCATAGAGCTACACAGTAACTCAAGGATTGAGTAGAATGTAATAAATCTGAACAATCAATTAAGTGTTTGTATTGTTTTCATCTCTAAAGATTGATCTCTTAGGCTCGGGGAATAAGTAATGACCAAACCAAGAATTTATTTGTTAAATTGCTCTGAAGTTGGAACACAGTGTCCCACACCCTCTACATCTGTCTCCCTTATCCCAATGCTACGGTAATGATTCTGAGGCCCCACCATATTCTCAGTCATCAAAAATCCAGTTATGTTTTGCTATTGGCAGAGTAAAACCTCAACATTCAAAAAGGCTGTGTGAGACCTCAAACCCCCAAGTTTGCAACATCAGAAGTATTTATGTTGACTTCTACTCTCTCCCAAATCACATTTTCCCATCAAAAACCATCTGGTTCCCATGTTTATCTGTACAAGATAAGTTAACCACATTCTCAAATTTCACCAAATTTTCTCTCACTTGATGGTGATTTTCCACCAAGAAATAAAATTTTTCTCACTTTGTGAGAGCCCATGCCTTCATGATGACCACAGGACAGTATGTTCGATGTGAGATGCCAAGTTGGTGCCTTTGCCAGCTAACTGGTCTACTCCTGCATGCCAGCAAAATTAGAAATGACCACATCATGGGCCTTCAAAATCCTTTACATGTGGGGAAGCTTGGTGAATGAAGAATGTGCTCTGAGTTTCAGCAAAAGGGAAGATGCCCATTTTTAAAAGATTTTCAACCGAAAGGATCAAAGCATTAAAAAAAAAGATGAAAGCAAGGGTATAGTTTCCTTTTTAATTAACCCTCAGTTAACCAGACAACCTAGTTCATTGTAACTTCCCAGTTAAACTAAAGGCTAATTCTAGTTCATCGGTGTTTATTATGAAAACCGTCATGGTAACCCAGCGTCAGGCCGATATTAAGGTGACTCATTCTTGCTGGGCAGACCCTCTAGGAGGTACTTAAACTTCCCATCCAACTGGCTGGTGCCATGTGCTCCTGGAAGCTCTTTTAATCATCCCCCCACTTTCCACAACTGTGGGTTTTTTACCCAACGGGAAACAGATGAGT